AAGCGCTAGCGCCCGACGCTGCTTCGGCGCTGCGCAGCGTCATGTGAGGCAGCATCGTGACCGAGGCCGATGCGGCGAAATGGAAGGGCGACGCTGGCACGTGCCCGCGCTGCGGACTGGCCCCTGAAGATCACGAGCGTCGCCCCTGGCTGTGCCCAGCACGGGAGGGCTCTCGGCACGCCGCGCTTGCCGCGACGCCACGGTCGGAGCCACCGTCGGATGCACGGGCCTAAAAGCAGCTGCTGCCAGCCATGGCCGCACTGACAGGGGTTCTAGCGTTGCCGCCGCTGCTCGCTGCCCTTGCGGGGGCCGCCGGGGGCGAGGACCAGCAGCTCCCGCCCCATGCCGAGCAGCTCCCGGATGCGCCCCGTCGCACGGTGTGGAGCAAAGGGTATGCTTCCACCCCGCTGACCCGCTGCTTGCGCGAGCGGCATGGGGCCTGCGGGCCCAGGGTCTGGCAGCTCCCAACCTCGCTGGCCCGGTCGACGGGGTGCAGACCGCGCAGCGGGCCGAGGTCACTACCGCGGTGGCCGCGGCTCGCGTTGTCGGCGGCCCGGTCAACCTCGCCTCGGACAACCGCTGCGTCGTGCGGGCGTGCGCGCAGATAGTGACTGGCGCCGACGCACACGCCGACCTGTGGCAGCAACTGGCGGGCGCCGTGCTCACCGGCGGCCGACGGCAACGCTGGCGCCGCAGATGCAAATCGGGCCCCGCCTCCGGATCCGGAGCTGGTGCTCCCGTGCCGCTGGACCTCGAGAGGCTGTGCAGCGCGTCCTTGCAGCCGCGCAGCAGGCCGCCCCGGCAGCAGCGCCGCCAGCCGCGCGCCGGAATCCGCCGCGGGACTCGAGCGCGCGCCACGTCTGCCCCGGCGGCAAGCGCCCCCGCCGACGCGCTGACCGCGTTCTTCGCCGGTCGCTCGTGGTGGCCCCATGCACTGGGGCGCGGGCCTGGGCGCGTCTTCTGCCTCCGCTGCGGCGGCAGCGCGGCGTCGGCAGCAGAGATGCTCGGGAGCGCGTGCCAGGCGGCTTTGCTCCTGGGCGACCTGCCCTGCGCCGGGGGCAGCTCGGAGGCTTTTGCACGCCTGGCCGCGCAGCGGATGGCGCAGCTGCCCAAGGTGCCGGACTAGGCGCTGCGGGTCGGGGCGCCCGCGCCCGAATTCGCGAGTCAAGAAAAACACAGAAACAGGAGGCCAGACGTTCCCTGCTCCCCAAGGGGGGGCCAAGCCTCATGTGGCGAGAGATTTGGGGCGAGGTCGAAGCCCGATGTCGTCAGCAGCAACGCTGAAACTATCGAAGAGCAAGACGTTGCGGCGCGCCCGGAATCTCCTCAGCGAGGTAGAAGCCGGCTGCGCCCCGCTTGACGCAAAGCTAAAGCCCAAGGTCGGCGGCAACAGCGCTGGCAGCAGCGCCCACGAGAAGAGCGAGACGGCAGCCAGCCCTAACGCTCGCATCGGACGGAGCGAAGGACGATTTGGGGAACAAATCTGAAACCCAAGGGCATCAGCTACACTGTGAACGACAGCGCTGAGTGCAGCGTGTGCGAGAAAGCAGGCGGTGACAGTGGGGTTTCCAAGGGTGAGCCCGACGTCATCAGCTACAGCGCGGCGACGGCGAGCAATTGAACTCACCGTGAGCGAGAGCGACGACGACGACAGACGAGCCCGATATCCATCAGCTACAGCGCTGGGATTAGGGCATCACCTCCAGCCTCCAGCGCTAGCCTCGCGTCGTGCGAACTTGGCAAAATGCAACCTCGTGCGCAAAGCTGGAGGCAAAGCTGGAGCCAGAGAGTAAATGCCATCAGCTACACTGCGAGAACCAAGGCGTGCGAGAAATGCGAGCTATGGGGGACGAAACTGGAGCCAGGCGCGATCAACTACACCGCTGGAGTATGCGCGAAAGGCAGGAAAGGCAGTGACTGCGGGGCGGGAAGCGGGACACAGCGGATGGCCCTATGAGAGAAGCCGGAGGCGAAGCTGGCGCCTGATATCGGCAAGTCTGGCTCTGTCGCTACTCCAGAAATGTGGAAGGCGAGGATTGCGCCCGAGATCATCATCAACTATGAAATTATACAATTCTGCGAAAAGCGGGAGGCGAAGTCAGAGCCCGATGTCATCCGCCACACAGTTACAATCAGGGTGTGCGTAAACGGCGAGCAGCAGCAGGTAATTCTGGCCGCACCCTGCGGGAAACAAGGGGCGAAGCTGGAGCCCAAGCTTGTCGGCCAGAGCGCCGGGTACAGCGTGGGTGAAAACGGCAAGCAGTGGCAACATGATCTGCCGTTAGTCAATGGGTGAGAGGTGGAAGGCGAGGCATAAGCCCGATGTCATCAACTCCAAGCGACCGCTGGTTTCGCCGACGGCTGGTTTCTCCCGGCTGGTTTCGCCCGGCTGGTATCGCCGCCTGGCGACACCAGCTCCGTCGGCGAAACCAGCTCCGTCGGCGAAACCAGCTGTCGTCGGCCGTCGGCGAAACCAGCTGCCGTCGGCGAAACTGCCCGACCCGACCCGCCCGCTAGGGTCCGCCCGCCCGACCCGACCCGCCCGTTCGGGCTCGCGCGTGCTCGGTCGAGTCCCGCCCGCCCGACCCGACCCGCCCGTTAAGACCCGCCCAGCCCGACCCGACCCGCCCAGCAGGGTCCGCCCGCTCGGCCCGACCCGCCCGTTCGGGTTCGCGCGTGCTCGGTCGAGCGCGCCCCACACTTTAATGTCCCGCCAGCCCGACCCGACCCGCAGGGTCCGCCCGCCCGACCCGACCCGTCCCGCCTGCTAGGGCCGCTAGGGTCCGCCCGACCCGACCCGCCCGTCAGGTTTCGCGCGTGCTCGGTCGAGCGTGCACCACACTTAAGACTTTCATGTCCCGCCCGCCCGACCCGACCCGCCCGTCAGAATCCGCCCGCCAGACCCGCCCGCTAGGGTCCGCCCGCCCGACCCGACCCGCCCGTCAAGGCTCGCGTCGGCGAAACCAGCGCCGGCGAAACCTGCGGGGCAAAACCAGTGGGGCGAAACCAGCGCTGGCGAAACCAGCCGCCGGCGAAACCAGCGGGGCGAAACCAGCGGGGCGAAACCAGCGCCGGCGAAACCAGCGCCGGCGAAACCAGCCGCCGGCGAAACCAGCGGGGCGAAACCAGCGCCGGCGAAACCAGCGCCAGCGAAACCAGCTCATGTCCAACTCTAGCGCTGGAGTCAGGGCGTGTGCACTGGGCGAGCGGCAGGCGGCTCCGCAACCATGCGGCGAGAAGCGGGAGGCAAAGTTAGTGCCCGATGCCATGACCTACAGCGCCAACAAAAGCGTGCGAGAACGGCCAACAGCGGCCACTTGCGGGAAGCGGGAGGCAAAGCTGGAGCCCGAGAGCGAACGTACAGGGGGAGCTCGTGCGGAACACATCTCCGCCACAGTGCCAGGAACAACTCGTGCTTGCAGGTGCTCGTGGGGCCGTTGGCAGATTCCCAGCTACAGAGCGGGGATCGGGTCGTGCGAGTGTGAAGGCAGCAGAAGCAAGCTCTGTTGCAGCAGGGGGTCGGACGAGTCAATCTCAGCTAAAACGAAGAGACCCGCTCGTGCGAGAACATTCAGACAAAAGCCGAACTTTCTCGCCCAAGGACGGCTTGGGGTAGGGGAAGCGTTCGTCGCCATTCGGTGTGATTCGCCGCCTCTGGGGTGTGACCTGCAAGATCCTGCAACATCCTCCATCCCTCTGCTTCATAGATAATCATCCCTGTCGCACCCCGACACGTGTTGTTAGGGCGGGCCAGGCGTTTCGCTGGAGCTTTCTTGACCATTTACGGCCCTGAGCCTTAGAATTGGCAGCAGTTTGACGGATGGATGGCTGGCCGTTTTCGAAATGTGGATCTCGCCTCAGCGCCGCGCAGATTCGTCCTAAAAGTTTGCGAGAGCTCCACGGATGAGAGAGGGCGGTTTTCAAAATGTGGCTCTCGCTTCAGCGCCGCGCGCAGTCGTCCTAGAAATTCAAAAGCGTTTCACGGATGGAGGGCTGTACCTTTTCCAAATATGGGGCAGCGCACATTCGTCCCAAATAGTACAACGCGTTGGTCCCAGAAATGGTGTCGTGGCACAATTGAGGACTGTCAGGGCGCAACAGGTACATTGATTCGGGGTGTTGGAATCCCAGGAATGGTGTTCAGGCACGATTTAGGATCATCAGGACGCAACATTTACGTTGATTCGCGGTGTTGGATTCCCAGGAATGGTGTTCTGGCGCGATTGAAGATCGCCAGGACGTAGCAGTAAAGTTGGTTCGCTGTGTTCAAACCCCAGGACTGGTGTTCTGGGGCGGTTCAGGATGTTCAGACGTGTGTCTTCCAACGGGGTACTTCCCTCAGTGAACATGAACCGATGGAGGGGGCTGTCAAGAGGCAACTTTGAGGGAGTGTGAATTGCAACCTCGTTGATGCGCCTTGGGTTTACACTGGTCCTCCTTCTCCTCCTTCTCCTCCTCTTTTTCCTCCTCCTCTTCCTCCTCTTGGCGTGAAGGAAGGGTGTCCTGATGGAAGCGGGTCCTGGGTCCCGGGGCTTTCCCCGGGATGATCCTGTGTACTGAGCCGCTTTTGACTGGTCCTGGCCTGGGGCCTGGGGAATGCCCCTGCTCATGGATCCCGAAAGCGGCGAGAGACTTCGAGGACCCTGTCCTTCAGGACCTCTCTTCTTCATGGCGATCCTCCTCCCCCCCCCATCTCCAGACCTCCTCCAAGGTGCACCCTGATCAAGAATTCGAGGCGAACCCAGCCGTGGTGACAAGTGCCCCCCCAACCCAGAAGCCCAACAGAAACGAAGACAAGGGAGAGGCCTTGGCCATCGGTCCGTTCCCCCCCACTCGCCCCCTCCTCCTCTCGGCGTTTCGTAGATGGGCCCTGGGAGATGGACCCGCCCTCAGCACGAGAAACTCAAAACAGGAAAGTTCAGATTGTGATCCACCTCCTAACCTGTAGTGCCCCATCCTTCTTTGAACCGCCGACCCTCCCTCCTCGACCTGAGGGGGGCCTCGAAGTCGACGCCAGCCGACGCTAGCAAGGCGCAAACCTCGAGCAGCACCGCGAACAAGGCGATGGATCTGCCAGGGCCTCTGTGCGCGCGCGCGCGTTCTGTCTGCGGACGCACAGCGCCGCGACAGCAATCTGGCAACGTGGTGGGGCCCTTCCCAAACTTCATTGAACAAATATTCAGGCGAAGGGCCCAACCATATGCAGTTATGCATGCCGCAATGGTGAATGTCTTCTTCGGTGGAGCTCCCCATGGGACCAGAAACGCCGCACCGGGTGGGGGGGAGCGCATGCGGGCGGTAGCACTGGGACCTTCGGTGGAGCTCCCTTATGCGGCCACGAAGCGCTTTACTGGGTGGGAGGGGCGCACGCGGGCGGTAGCGCTGGGACCTTCGGTTGAGCTCGTGTGGGGCCACGAAACGCTGTACTGGGTGGGGGGGGCGCATGCGGGCGGTAGCGCTGGGACCTTCGATGGAGCTCCGTATTGGGCCACGAAACGCTGTACTGGGTGGGAGGCACGCATGCGGGCGGTAGCACTGGGGCCGTCGGTGGGGCTCCCTATTGGGCCACGAAACGCTGTACGGGGTGGGGTGGACGCATGCGGGCGGTGGCGCTGGGACCTTCGGTGGAGCCCCCTGTGGGGCCACGAAGCGCTGTACTGGGTGGGGGGGGCGCATGCGGTCAGTAGCAGACAGGCTGCGGTGGAGCTCCCTATTGGGCCACGAAGCGCTGTACGGGGTGGGGGGGGGCGCATGCGGGCGGTGGCGCTGGGACCTTCGGTGGAGCTCCCTGCGGGGCCACGAAACGCTGTACTGGGTGGGTGGGGCGCAAGCGGGCGGCAGCACAAGGGCCGTCGGTGGAGTTCCCTACTGGGCCACGAAACGCTGTACTGGGTGGGGGGGCGCAAGCAGGCGGTAGCACAAGGGCCGTCGGTGGAGTTCCGCATGGGGCCACGAAGCGCTGTAATGGGTGATTGGGACGCATGCGTGCGGTAGCGGTGGGGCCGCCGGTGGAGCCCCCTATGGGGCCACGAAGCGCTGTACTGGGTGGGGGGGGGGACGCATGCGGGCGGTAGCACTGTGGCCGTCGGTGGAGCCCCCTATGGGGCCCCGAATCGCTGTACTGGGTTGGAGGGACGCATGCGGGCAATGGCAGAGAGGCTTCGGTGAAGCTCCCTATGCGGCCACGAAGCGCTGTACTGGGTGGGGGGACGCATGCGGGCGGTGGCGCTGAGACCTTCGGTGGAGCTCCCTACGGGGCCACGAATCGCTGTACTGGGTGGGGGGGGCGCAAGCGGGCGGTAGCACAGGGGCCGTCGGTGGAGTTCCCTCTGGGGCTACGAAGCGCTGTACTGGGTGGGGGGGGACGCATGCGGGCGGTAGAGCTGGGACCTTCGGTGGAGCTCCCTACGGGGCCACGAATCGCTGTACTGGGTGGGGGGGTGCGCACGCGGGCGGTAGCACAGGGAACGTCGGTGGAGCTCCCTATGGGGCTAGAAGCGCTGTGCTGGGTGAGGGGGGACGCATGCGGGCGGTAGAGCTGGGACCTTCGGTGGAGCCCCCTGTGGGACCACGAAGCGCTGTACTGGGTGGGGGGGGCGCATGCGGGCGGTAGCGCTGGGGCCTTCGGTGGAGCTCCCTATGGGGCCACGAAACGCTGTACTGGGTGGGGGGGACGCATGCGGGCGGTAGCGCTGGGGCCGTCGGTGGAGCTCCCTATGGTGGGGCCACGAAACGCTGTACTGGGTGGGTGAAACGCAGGGAGGAGGGAGGAGGGGGAGGAGGGAGGAGGGGGAGGAGGAAGGAGAATGCGGGGATCGTTTCTTCACAACGAGGACCCAATACCACAAGATGGTTGGGAATTCTCTTCTAGGCAGTCAAGACCGACACGGTAGGAACAGCCAGTCCTACAAGCCTCTCCCAACGTATCCAGACACCCGTGTTGATTTGATGGGTATCTATGTTCTCGGGCGCTTGTCGCAGCGCAATCCCTTCAACGCTAAAGGGACTTCAAGAGCCCGCGCGCGCGAGCCAACGATCTGGATCTGGCGCCAATGTTGGAGCAGCGCTGCCCTCACAAATGGTGACTGCAAGAATCCTCTGACCATCTTTGACGAACGCTGTTCGCTTTTCAACGCTGGCATCGGGTAAGACAGAAGGCGCCCGCGCAACGCCAAGCAACATATCCAGACCGTACTTGAACCTTCGGGCAACCTTATCCGTCCCATCGCGCCAACCATCCGTGAGGATCCGCGTCGCGCCTGTCGAATCCGCGTCGAGTCCGCGACGACTCCACGTCGCATCCGTGCCGGGTCCGCGTCGGACTCACGTCGCGCACAAGAAGAGACCGCAGCTGCCACGACAGACGAGGTCCCCCGAAGATGCCTACAGCGTGCAGCGCGTGCGCCGCGCCCGCGGACGTCGAGCAGATGGTGCTGCGCGCTGATTGCGCGGCCGTGCGCAGGCGAGGGCCCAGGCGCGCCGCCTTCGAGCGGGCGCGAGGGCGTCGACGGCGGATTGCCGCGTGCGCGCGCGAGCGGGGCGCCCACGCCCAGGGGGCGCGTTCGTGATGTCGCGCGGCCGGACGAAGACCGCACGGCCTTCGGGCCGTGAGGCCAACGGGGCGCCAACTCTGTCGCAGGGTGCGGCGGCGGGGAAGGTGCGCAACTACTCCGCAACTGCCAGGCCGCCGTCCACTCGACATGCGGCTTCCACGGTTTGGGGATAGCCGGAATAATGTCGGCGCATTTATTCACAAGAGCTACCTGGCCATGTCCACAGGATATGGTATGTTGTCAGGGGTGAGGCGGCGCATCTAGTTCTGCCAACAACACTGTGTCTACCAATTTTTTTGCAACCGTCCCTGAAGAACAGAAGCACGGTCGGGTGGACGATTGCCATGCCCGGGCACAGCTGTGCGAACGAGACATCGAAACAATTGCGACGACTGCCGACCTTTGTAACACTGCACGCCGAGCCGGCGGCTCCCAGGTAACCCTGTGCTCCTGATATTACCTGGGGATACTAAGATTCGGGGTCTAGGGGGGATAATAAACGTTTATCCGGAGATCGCAACGTAATGGTGAAAATGATGACGATGATGATGATAGAGATGATCCTGGACGCTCCATAGAAACCCTTGAGAAATCCTTCCTTCAAAAATCCAAAGGCTTCCTTCGGGAATCCTTAAGACTCCGTAGGACATCCATAAAAATCCTTAGGACTGTAGATAGAATATGACTCTGTGATATGGGTCGAGCGCAGTGCCTGAAACGAGCCAAATGTCTGCGAAACGAATTCAAGACAAACACACAACATGTCTGTCACCAAATGTACAACGCTCGTTACACACGTGCGTACAAAACGTGAGACGTGAGAACCGTGCTCAGCATATCCCACACTTCTGAAATATCTGCACTCCTCCTAAGACGCATCGGCATGACCTGCTGACAAGTCTTCAAAACGAATTCGAACTCACACGATACTAATTACTTAGAACTTCCTATGAAGACTACTCCAGACAGTCCTGAAAACAATGCCCATAGCCTTAAGGTGCCTAGAGGCTGTCGCATGCGAAACGCACTTAGTTAACAAATCTGCAACGTTCACCCTAGTGCCTACTTGGATTATCTTCAAGAGGCGATTCAGGACTTTCTCCAGGATCCACAGAAACTTAGTCATTACATGTTTCTGTTTGCCTGAACCCTGCCTATGTGCAAACGCTCGAGCCGCGGACGAACCCGATGCAATCGAAACAGAAAGCTCATCCTTCACCTTGCTCACTACATGCACTTCAAACGAGAACCCGAAATCCTCCAAGATGGCCTTGATCAGAAGGCCAGCCGCTCCACCTTTCAAGATACCGTAGTATTCTGCTTCTCCACTGCTGAGTGCTACTGTCGATTGCAATGTAGATTGCGTCTTCAACGTATGCTTGCCGAACATTGCTACCATACCGTTAGTACTCTTACGTGTAATCGGACAACCTGCCCAGTCTGTGCCCACCGACATACTGAGCTCCTTCGGCATTGCCTAAGGGAAAAACCTGGAGACGAGGCACGGGTACTTCTTCAAATAGCGGCACAACTTCTTAAGAGCCGCCAAGTCCGAGACATTGGGGCGCTGCATTTTCCTCGTCAAGCTTTTGACCGCCTCGCCGATGTCTGGCCGATCCTCAGCAAGATAGGCCGCTCGCATCACGCCTGAGCGGTAGGCGCGGACACCGGCAGCGTCCAAGACAGGGAGCTCAAGCTCCTTCAGAGCATCTTCGACGCTCTTCTTGCTGGACGGAACATCAACTCCCTTTGCCGGATCCTTTTCCACGCCGTGATCTCTCACAAGCGCGCCCACATGCCGTTGGTCACTCTCGATCTCAATGCAGGCCCCGGGTCCTCTCACGCACCTCAGAACTCGATTCAAGAAACCGACCTCCTCCGAATCCTTCTCCTCAGGCCCCAGGATACCAGAACACTTCATGTCATACTTCGAAGCCAACCTGGAATTTACATCCGCAAGTGTGATGTCATCACCGACGACCATGAAATCGTCGCCGTGGACGAGGCCCCTCGCCTCGTCGCTCTCACGAAAGAGAAGAGAGGGATTGGACATCCCTTTCCGAAACTCGCCATCTCGCATGAGATTCAAATAGTCGCCCTGCCATATATGACTTGCATCACGTGCCGTACATGCTCTCGTTTAACTTAGCTTCTCGATAACCGGGAAGTGCGATGCACATGTCACGCTGTGCTTCTCCGCACAGGTGTGCCCGAGAAACATTCCAAAAGCCAACCTTGAGAGGTAAACCTCGCTTCGAAACTTTTAAAGTCATCACCAAACTCAACGGCAACCTGAAAGCCTCCAAGGGCGGTGTGCTGCTGAAAAGTTCTGCGGCTGTAAGTTGCTCGGAACATCGATTTTGCTTGCCTGCGATCTCTCTTGCTACCATTCTGCTACGATAACGAGGACGACAACTATCACCTTTGTTCGTATCTACCCAGCGGGTCCCAAGGGGGTTCCTGCCTGTGAGCCTCCTGCAGGTACCCTGCTCCGCCTCAGTGAAAACGTTCTGCTTGGTCATCCAAG